TATGCCCTGTCCTTTGTCTGTTGATACAAACTTTCATGAATAAGTTCTTTATTTGAAGATGCTTCCGGTGAACCCTAAACACAAACAACAACAACAGCAAAGACAGCTTAACATTTTCTGAGTGCTTATTCTTCACTAGGCTTTGTACTGGATGCTTCTTGTTTATTATTTCATCTAAATTTCACAATAACTCTGAAAAGGAGATGTTGTGTATATTGTTTTCAATTTCTGTTTCCAGATGAGAAGACCAAGGCTTAGAGTTTAAATAGCTTGCTTAAGGTCACTCAGCCTGTAGGTGGCAGGCCTAGAAGTAGGGGTTTGAGCTTATTAGCTTTGTATCCTGGGATAGAGCACCACCTACTCCTCCAGTGCCCTTCCTCTCATTAACTGAAATGGGCTCTTTTTATCTGTTTTATAAATGGGGCCTCTGCCTTAGTTTTCTTTGAAGTCAGGTTTTGTGGCTAAAGAAGAATTTGAAAACTCCAGGCCTGCAGAATGCATTTGGCCATGATGTACCCTTTTCAGCCTCATGCTCTCCCACCATTACTTCTCCCACTATACTTTTTCCCAAAATCCTCTTTCCTGTGGCTGCCAAGTTAGTGTGCCATCCCTAAGGCAGTTTCCAAATCTCAAAGCAGAAGAGTTGTGTTTTCTGCATGGTCTTCCTACAGCAGGTCTTCCTTCTGTCCTAGCAGAGTAGTCATCTTTTTAAGTAGTGGCCAACAAGTCTGTCTCTGCCACTAGACTGAGCCTCTGGAAAAGCTAAACCAGACCTGCCTTTTTTCTGGAGTTCCTCAGCCTGGTCCAGGATCTGGCACAGAGCACAGGGGGTTTAGCAGTGCTTGATGAGTTGGAGTTGGAGTGAATGCTCGGAACCAACCAGCTGAGTGCACAAACCTACTATACAGACCTTAGTGTATACTCACAGAGCACCATGAATACAAGATGAGTTTATCAGATGTATTAATCACTAGTTTGGAAAAGAATGAAAATATTTCCATAATATAATATGTTTCTTTTCTAAAACAGATGTGCTCTAGTTTCATGAGGAAATAATTAAGTGTGTTTGATTAAAACATTCATAAACACTATCATTTACTCAAGGCTACTATATGCTGCTCCCTTTGTTGGTGCTTTATATCTGTAGTGTCTGCTTTTCTCAGTTACCCCATAAGGTATCTTTTTTTTAATCTTCATTTTAGAGATAAGGAAACTGAGGCTCAGAGACATTAAGTAGCTTGCCCAAGGATAGTCAGTTTCTGAGTGAATGTTATGGGAATGAAACAGGTCTGTCTGACTTTAGAACCAGTGTCTTGCCATCACCCTGACTACTTCTGATCTTGTGTTTCAGTTACCATTCAGCTCAGCCTCCTGAACCAGCACACATCTGCCTTGCTTCCTCTCAGCCCTTCCTGTGCCCAGTATCTCTTGCCCTCCTCCCTTATGTCCCTTTCCTCAATGCACTCCCCTCTCCACTTCCTTGTAGTATCGTGATTATTGCCTCTGTATTTGCATCCTGAAATGGAAATATTTTTGACAGTGTTGATAAGCATTGGCCACTAATACATGTGGAAACTGTCTGGTGCTAATACTGTGGTAATGTCACATTTGCGTTAATAAATACAAAAGGATACATTTTATTAAGGCCAAATTAAATATATTATGATTTTGTTTTCTTTATATAGCCTTTTATTTTTGAGATTTTTTTTGAGTTCCATTTTATGTTTTTTAAACTGTATGTTTTTTTCACTCCATGTAAAATATAACAGTGCAGTAGGGGAAAAAAGTTGATTAGATAAAATTTTTTCTTTTTTAAGGGTTTTCTAAATAGTAGGATACCTATTACAAATAACAAATACAAAATTGAAATACTTCAGCAAGGTCTTATGGAGAAATTTAAGAGGTTTCTTTCAGACTTAGATTCATTTATTTACTGCCTCTCTTAGTGTTTCAGCAGGATTAAGTTTTTTGAATCAGTGGATCAAGTTTTAATTTTCCTGTTCCTTCCTTATACTGACATATGCTTTGGCAGAACAAAAAAGAGACCTAAACATGTCAGCATGATTTTTGTTCAATGAATTAAAAACCATAAAAGTAACAAGATCTGATCCAAATCCCTAAACTCCTGACATGGTGGTTTTGTCCTTTTCAATCCTGAGCTTCATATTACTAACTTTGAAAAGCTTTCTGCCTGGAAGGAGAAGTAATAGCAATACATGATTTATTTGAAATAGATTACAAGGGGTAGGCAGCACAGAGTAGTGCCAGAAAGACCTTGATTTGAATCCCAATTTTCTCACTCAGTCTATGGACAAGTCACTTACATCTGTGAACCTCAATTTCCTCATTGGAAAATAGGAGTATTAGCATCTAATTTGAAGAGTTGTATGGATCAGTGAAGTAACATACTTAAAGTACTTACCTGGCCTAGAGGGGTTTAATAATAGTAGTAATTGGAATCATTTTTATTTTGAGAATACCTTCAAATAGCAGAATCCAGAAGAATTTACTTGTAACACAACTGTTCACCTCAGAGACTATCCGTTCCCAAATTTCTTGTCAGAGAAAATATCAGGTAGATGCTACTAAATCTTTAACAGTTGTTCATCACTATTCCTCACTGAACATGTACCCAGAGATTGGCATTGTTCTTTTTTTGTAAGAACCATGTTGATTTGAGGGATAAGAAGCGTAAGTATGTTCATTTCAGGACTCAGAGGTCAGAGAAATTTTGTCATACTAAGACCATTGGCTTTTTTCATATTAAGACCAAATCAGCCTGAGTTTGCTTGGGTTTGACTTTGTATAAGATAACAATCTACTTTTGGCCTCATTTTCTTCATCTTTAAAATATGGTTTGTATCTACAAGACCCTCCATGATATGGCTTCCCAGCCTCTTTTTTTTTTTTTTCTTGTCATTCCTTTATTATCTGTGCTCCAACCAATTCCTCAAATGAAACATGGGCTATTTTGCAGCTTAAAGCCTTTATGTATATGCTCTTTCCTCTTCCTGGAAATTCTCCCTTGGCATGCCAGTACTGGCAGCTTGGACTCATTCTTCATACATAGTATGATGTATTAGTAGGATAGGAGGGGCTATGCTGCAGTAACAAGTAAACCCAACATCTCTTTAGCTTATGACAAGGAAAGTTTATTTCTTGTTCATGCTATATGATAGGTGCAGTTTACCATATTACTCTGAGATCCAAGCTCATGGAAGTTCTGTCTCGACTTGTACTATAGTCAAGGGAAACAAATGTAGTAGAGTACACATTGTCTCCAAAAGCTACTGTCCTGAAGTGACACCCATCATTTCTGCTCACACTTCATTAGTCAAAGAGAGTAATAACAGCCTGACTTTGGAAAGCGTGGGAAAGTGCATTTCCTTTTTTTTTTTGAGTTGGAGTCTCACTCTGTCGCCCAGACTGGAGTGCAGTGGCCGCTCCCGGCCACCGCAGCCTCAACCTGCTGGGTTCTGGCGATCCTTCTGCCTCAGCCTTCCAAGTAGCCGGAATTACAGGCATGCACTACCATGCCCAGCTGATTTTTTGATTTATTGTAGAGATGAGGTCTCGCTGTCCAGGCGGGTCTCGAACCCACGGGCTCAGGCAATCCACTCACCTCAGCCTCCCAAAGGCGCAGGATTACAGGCTGAGCCACTGAGCCCGGCTGGGAAAGTGCATTTCTACTATGTGTGTGGAGGGTTGAGAACCAGTATTCTAGTGAACAGACCTAATGACTGTACCACATTGAGGTTTAATTTTGTCAGGAATGTCTTCCTTTACTCACCCTCCCTAAACTCAGTTCCTGGCAAGTTAGCTGAGCTTCTTCTCTACTCTTGTGGCACCTTGTACTTCTCCACTTTCTTTACCACAGCACCTCTCACACTCTACTGTAAATGTGTCTTTCCTTGTTTCTCTCCCTGGCTAAGCTCCTTTAGAGCAGGACAGAAGTCTTTCATGTTCATCACAGTACTCTCAGTGTCCAACACTGGTTTTGATAGGTAGTAGACACTCAGTCTGTACATGAAGAAGAAACATCTGTGAGCCCAATTTCCTCGTTGGAAAATTAGGGTATCAGCATCTAATTTGAAAATGCATTATCTCTTTCATCTTGTACCCTTTAAGCAGACGCTGATATGTGCTGGACTACTTTGATGGGTTGTTGTGAGAGTAAGTGTAAAATAGAAATAATAATAACTGCCTCATATAGTTGTTGTAAGGACTGATGTATAAAATACTTATCCCAGTGGTTTGTTTCAGTCCCTCAATATGCTCGTTGTTATAATGAGGATGTTAATAGTAAAAACAACTGACATAAGCATTTATAATGTGCTAGACACACACATGGGTGCTTTATGAAGTTAACTATATTGGGACTTATGTTATATCTTGGTCAATTGTGAGGGTATTCACAAGTAATTTGTTAAAATAATTGTTCAGATTCTGAAAGTTGAAATTTATTTTAAGTGATTTGAGATTTAGAGATGATGTTATTTTTATAGCATCATTATTCATTTGCATTGCTTTCTTAATTGGGAGAGAAAGGAGTGGCGTTATGGCTAATAATTGATTCCTTTTATTGAGCATTTAAAATGTGCCAGGGTCAGTGCTAAATAATTTGCATTCATTATCTCATTTAATCTTCATCCCTTTAAGACAGGGACTGATATAACCTCTATTAGATAGGCAGGAACTCTGAGAAGAGGAAAATAGTTATGCATCTCGTAAGAGGCATGACCAGGATCTGACCCCAGGTTTGCCTAGACTTTCTGGCTCATGCTTTTAAGCAGAACTCTTACTGGCTCTTCTAGGAAGAGTATTTCAAAGAACTGTACTTGACCTCAGCATGCCCATAGGCTGTGCCAGGAATGTGAAGATCATCAACCCACAGAGAGTAAGGTTATAGCTGCTGAACTGACTGACAGAGTGATGTTAAATTTTTGGCTAGCAATTGATGTATAAAACAACTTGTTGAATGTCTTTTTGTCTTTTATCAGAGTAACCAGGGAGCACAGGGAAATGCTGGTGAAACTGGCCAAACAGAACACCAACAAGGCCAAGGACTCCTTACGTAGAGTTCGTACCAACGCAATGAATACGCTGAAGAAATCAAAGGATAAGGTCTCAGAGGATACCATTAGGCTCATAGAGAAACAGGTACTATTATCAGCAGATGTAGTAGTGTCTATGCATCTAACCCAAGCAGTCATTTCTCGTGTCTGAAGTAAAGACAAAACAGAATGCTTCTTATTCTTTCATTCATATGATCAACATTGACTAATCCTCTATTCTGGGTTCAGCCCTGTGCTGGACCCTGACAGGGCTCCATGGAGGAGGTTAAGATAATGTTGACCTTGTACTATGTGCCAGGCTCTGTGCTGAACACTTTATTACTTCATTTATTCTCATCACTACAAAACTATGAGGTAGGTAGTGAGGAAACTGAGGTTCACAGAAGTTAAATAACTTGCCCAAAGTCATACTGCTAGTAAGTGGTAGAAATGGGATGCAAACATTGGCAGACTGAGTTCATTGCCTGTGCACTAATGCCTTTCTGTCTGGTTTTCTGATTGCTGAGAAGTAAGTACTTAATGTTCTCAGTGTACTGAGTGGAGTGGCACTTGAAGAAGTCTTAAAGGAGCTACTACAGTAGAACAGTGAGAGACCAGGGAAAGGTATAACTGCCTGTGCAGAAGTATGGTGATGTAAAAGAATGCTGTTCCATTTGATCACTGGGGCTCGAATCTAAGATGAGACTATGGAGTGAATAGATAAAACAGAGTGGCCAGATCATAGATCATAGATGGTCACAGATTAAAGTGTTTGAACTTTAACATGTACAGAAGTTCCCACATTGGCTGTGCATCTGTATCAGTCATCTATAGCTACCATGATGCTACATAACAAACTATCCCAAAACTCAATGACTGACAGTGTGAAAGCATTATTTCTCATTTTTATTTCCATGGGCCAGCTGGGGGTATAGCTATTCTAGGCTTGACTTAGTGGGCTTGGCTCCAGGTCTTGGATTGGGTTCAAATCTGTTTTACATATCTTTCGATCTTCTGCAGTTAGGTTTCTCTAAGGCATCTTTTCATGGTAACAGCAGATGCCAAGAGCATAAGCCCAACTACTCAAGCACATTTTTTTTTTTTTTTTTTTTGGAATTGGAGTCTCACTCTATTGCTCAGACTAAAGTGCAGTGGCAGGTTCCCAGCCACTGTAGCCTCAACCTGCTGGGCACTGGCAATCCTTCCGGCGATTCCTCCTCAGCCTTCCAAGTAGCTGGAACTATAGGTGCATGCTACCATGCCCAGCTAATTTTTGGTTTATTGTAGAAATGAGGTCTTGCCAAGTTGCCCAGGCTGGTCTCGAACCTGCGGGTTCAGGAAATCTACTTGCCTCGGCCTCCCAAAGTGCTGGGATTACAGGCTGAGCCACTGAGCCCAGCCTCAAGCAAATTTTAAGCACCTTCTCCTATTACATCCCACTGGCCAAAGCAAGTCACATGGGTACAAGGAATTATATATGTTCGAGGAGATCTGGGGAAAGGAGTGAATATGTGCAGAACAATATCTAATCTACCACAGTTTCATAATCATTTTAGGAGCTTATAAAAATAACAGATATTGGGCTCGGTGGCTCAGCCTGTAATCCCATGCCTTTGGGAGGCTGAGGTGTGTGGATTGCCTGAGCTCGCGGGTTCAAGACCCGCTTGGGCAGCAAGACCTCATCTCTACAATAAAATCAAAAAGTCAGCCGGGCGTGATAGCGCATGCCTGTAATTCCAGCTACTTGTAAGGCTGAGGCGGAAGGATCGCCAGAACCCACTCAGTCTGGGCGACAGAGTGAGACTCCAACTCAAAAAAAATAATAATAATAATAAAAATAACAGGTATCTGAGGCCCCAGTCTGGAGTGTAGCCCAGGAATTCACATTTTTAAATGCTTCTCCAGTGATTCTCATAGTTAATACTCCTGAAAAATTTTGTTCAGACAGTGGGGAGATTACATCTCTGTTTATGGAAGATGACTGTGGTGGCCAGGTAGAGAACAGATTGTAGGGGGCAAGACTGGAAGCAGGGGGACCAGGAGGCTGTTGCAGAAATCCAACCAGGAAGTGACAGTGGCTTGAACCTGAGTAGTATTAGTGGGAAGTGAGCTAGGAGGATGAATTTACCAGTATTTAGGAGATAGAATTAGTAATGTTTAGTGTAATATAGAGGGCTTGATAGGCCCCAAAGCTTCCTCATCCACAATACAGGCATTATTTTAGGAATATTGAACAGTTGTATGGGCTGGATACGGAGTGAAGAGGGAAGGAATGAGAGGCAAGAAGAGCCATTAGGGGAACTCCTAGAGGAGGCCATCAGTTTACTAGCTGCTTCCTTTCTCCTGGACCAGCAGTTAGATTGCTAGTTTTGTAGGCCGGCAACAAAATCTCTTGGGGGAGAATTTTAGGTAGATTCATAGGCCCTGATCCTGCACTTTCTGATTTAGTAGCTTTGCCTAGGAACGTACTATTTTATTTCATTTGAAATGAGGTCTCACTGTGTTACCCAAGCTGGACTTGAACTATCAGATTCAAGTGATCCTCGCACCTCAGCCTTCTGAGTAGCTGGGATTACAGGTATATGCCACCACACCCTTGGCTGCTAGAAAGCACCATTAGTACACCTGACATTTAAACCCTCAGAACTCGCCTCCTGCCATCTTTCTGCCCTTCTCTTTCCCTGCATCAGCTAAAAGAGGAGGTTCATTGATTAGGCTAGCTTTTTCTGAGCACTGCTTAAACCTCTAAACAGTCTGGACCCTGACTCCACCTGGACTCGCTTCTTGTGGATTTCATCTCTGCATTCAACACTGCCTTTTCACTGCTTCCTGGTGATAAGCCTATTGACCTCCAAGGGCCTACCAGAAACTCCTCACTCAGCAAGTCAGGGCATCTGCCTCAGGGACCAGAGCCCACAACTCCTTGAAAGAAGAAAAATGATCAAATAACCCACACTTGATAAAACCCACTTGACAAAGGCCTTGTTGGAAGCCTTCACTCTTTAGCACTGGCTTTTCACCATCTTCTTCAGATTAGATTTGATTTTTTTTCAGTGCTTCTTACTGTTGATTATTACTATTTTTCAAATTGAAAATAGCTTTATTAGTTTTCCTGATACTAAAATAATGCATGCTTAATAGTAAAAAAAATGAACAAAATAATTGAAATCTTATCACTCAGAGATCATTGTTAACATTTTAGTGTGGACTTTCAAGTAATCTCTCTAAGAGAAAAAATCGTACTATTTATATTACACAATATATCATAGATGTCTTCTCAAAGATATTATTTAAATGTTAGTTCTTACTAATATTGTTGATAACTTCATTTATTGTCATCCAGCTAAAAGTTTGGGTAGAAAAATATTCAGGAGACAGCCTTGTATACACTTCATTTTGTTCTTTTTTCCCATCAGAAGGCACCAAACTGGAGTTTTTGGTGTGTGTGTTTTTTTTTGTGATATATATCACTGGGGTGCCAAAAAAATGTATA